TTGCTATTGCTATTGCTATTGCTCTAAGGAGAAAAAGCGGAGATTAGAACAAAGAATTCCCATTAATTTATAACATATATCCATATTTTCAATTGACCATAATGTCACCAGTCATCCAGAATTCCAAGAATAGTTTCCCATTATTAATTATTAATCCATTATAGTGGTTAAGTATTTCAATTCATGTCTATATCAATTGTTCCTTACATCATCATTGATCCGTTTAATAGACAAAGATCTTTCTAATAAAAAATGGCCACTCCATGCAGTGATAGCAAAGTGCTCAAATCATCCGCTCTCTTATACATTAAAATCACGATGCTCCTTATCCCATTGCAGGGCGGAAGGAGTGACCCAGGAGGCGGCTGAGAGAGAGAGGTGAGCTTTCCCTTCTTCGCTGTTGCCAACGTCATCCCGTTTTCCTCATGCCGGGGAGAGTCGGAAGGAAGCCAGGCATTTGAGGGAGGCGGGAGGCATCCTTTCCAGCCCCCAGAGGCTGTTCGTGTCCTGACCACTTCCCCGTGCTGGCTGGGGAACTCTGGGAGGTTTTTCCAATGTATAAAGTTTTTAATTTTTTCATTTTCATAACAAATAAACCACATGCATCCTATTCCATAGACAACATCACGTTGTATTATTAAAGGTTTGCATCAATTTGTCTTACCATCCACTCCCAAAAACAATTATTAGCTCTTCTACTCTTCATACATCATATTTGCACCTTATTCATCACTTTCTTTCTCCAACCTCCTTTCTTCCCTCTGTCCTCCTCTTCTCTTCTCTGCTTCCCCTTCCTCTCTCTTTCTCCTCTCTCCTCCTTTCTCTCCTCCTCTCCCCCCCTTGCCCTCTCTCCTCTCCCTCTCTTCTTCCCTTCCCTTTCTCCCCTACTTCCCACTCTTCATCTCATTTACTTGGTGTATTTCAGCTACTGAGCGAGCTCCGTTTTACGTCGATGGTGTTTATATTTCCTTTTCAGTAAACATATTTAATTTTAACATATATCTTCCTCCTTTTTTTAAAAAAAGGGAGAGAAAGTATACATATGTAGTCATGCATAAGGACAAGGGAATTTACGAGTGGCCAGACAAGCAAAGAGAATTTTTCTGAATTCTTCTTCCTTAGAAAGCAAAGAAGCAAAGTCTTGGTCCCTGCAAAACCTCTTTTATTTACACGCCTGGGAATTCCTGTCGTTCCCAGTCCGCAAGGCTTAGCAAACAGTCTTTCAGAGGAATGTTTATCCACACCGTGACCCGTCAAAACCGCGGAGGACAAAATCGCGCTCGACGAAAGCGCGCATGTGATGTCATCACAGCGCGACGATAA